TTTTTTGCGGTGCGCGGGCCTCTCACTGTTGCAGCCTCTCCCGTTGCGGAGCACAGGCTCCGGACGCACAGGCTCAGCCGCCATGGCTCATGGGCCCAGCCGCTCCGCGGCATGTGGGATCCTCCCGGACCGGGGCACGAACCCGCGTCCCCTGCATCAGCAGGCGGACTCTCAACCTCTGCACCACCAGGGAAGCCCTCTTCTGCGTGTCTTGACCTCAGTTTTAGCGTCTGTCTCCTTGTCCATCTCCCCCGCGAGGCAGGTGCTTCTTCCAGTGAGCAGAGGCTGGGTTGCTCGACGTTCTTCCTTCAATTGGTGACTATTTATTCACCCAAAACTGTTTAGTGGGCAGCTGGGGGTGCCAGGCTTGTGGTTCCAGTGGGAACCTGGATGGGCAGCCCCTGCCCTGGTGGCGTCTGCTATCCATTGGGGAGTAAATCCAACTACCCAGATGTTGAATCAATTGTTAGGGTGGGAGGTGGCCTGAGCGCCATGGAGATTGAGCGCAAGACCTGGTGTTCTACCTTCAGGCTAGAGCCCTGCGCCTCCACTGTCTGCCTGCTCACCTCCCTTCCAGCCGGAGGCCTGAGGCCCCCAGCTCTCTGCCCGGGGCCCAGCCCTGTCCTGCTCCCTAGGCCCCAGTGCCAGCCTTCACTGCCTCGCAGCTGACACCCCTCACTTCTGGGGTGACCCGACGCCTGATGAGAAGCCCCGTCCTCTTTTTCCTCCTTGGTGAAGCCCCCAGGCCCCTCCCCTCTCTCTGCAGAAACTGGGGCAGAGATCACGCCCCTTACGAGTGGAGGGAAACACGTGTGTACACACGTGCACACACTCATGAGGGCCCGTTCCTCGCTGGAGGGTCCCGCCTCATTGATCCCAAGTAGCCGAAAAGCCCCATTACCCAGTCGGCCAACGTGCTGGCAACGTCCCCGGCTCCCGGCCCGAGGGAGGAGGGGTGGGCTTAGGATGAGGGAGGAGGGGCCCAGCAAGGCGGGAGGGAGGCTGGCAGAGGTCGAGCAGCCAGGCTCCAGGATGGCGAGGGCAAGGGGCCGAGGGGAGCGGGGGGCAGAGAGCCAGGCGAGGAGTGTGGACAGGCCAGGGTGAGGGAGAGGGTGCTGTCAGCAGCCTCCGGATATCAATTAACTGATAAATATTTGATTAGAACCTTCACTAACTTACATCTTCCCAGGGCCCCCTCTTCCCCACCTCCTCCAAGGCTCCAGGAAAGGGGGGCTCCTCACCCGTCTGCTTCCTTACCACCCCACCCATAGCTCTCCCCAGTGCACTCTTCCCCGGGTCCCGTGCTGGCAGAGGGGCAGCCGCCGATCACTCCCACTGCGTGGTTCCTGGGCAGGAGCCCGGAGCCCAGACTGTCAGGGGAAGCTTCGACCCAGTGGGGATGCTGGGAGGTGTGTTTGGAGTCCTGAGTGCCAGGGTCTGGAGGGGTCTGGGGTGGGCAGGAAGCAGCTGTGGGACGGGGACATCGAGGGACATCTGTGACATAATAAAGTCAGCACATCTGAGCACATGGTGCTCCCTGCTCTGCGGACGTGAACTCATCAAACTGCCTCCAACCTACAAGGTAGACGCCACCTCCCCATTCCACAGCTAATAAAGCTGAGGTTACGGGATGAAGTGACTTGGCAGTGGCCACCGGCTCCCAAACCTGGCCCTCTGCTCCTCGTGCGGGGGGCGGGGGGGGACTGGAGGGAGGTGAGATTCCACAGCCTACTGACAGTCTAGATGCGCAAAAGCACAGGGAGGGCTCCAATCCCTCCTCTTGGCCACCGAGTGGCCCCAGGTCACCGTTTATCCTCTCTGTTTCCCCGTCTGCAGTGGTCATCTCTGGCGTGATTTGGTGGGTCCTGGGCAATTCTCGACACCCCTGCCCTGGGTGTCCTCCACGCCCACGCATGGTGGCTGTCGTCCATGAGTGGCCTTCACCTTGGCTGCACACGCATGGCTGGGCCCCACCAAAGGGCAGCCAAACTTTACAACCAGACTTTCCCATGAGGTTCTGAAGTGTAGCCTGGGCTGAGAGCCGCCAGACCAGACTAGGATGGAAAAGCAGTGAGTAATCAGGTTCATCCCGAGAGGCTGTCTAGCTGCCTGGCACACAGAGGGTTGCAACAGTGAGTGTTTGTCACTTTCCTTTTCTTCCTCCTTCCCTGGTCTGTTGGGGCCACAATGAGGGAGGGGTTGGGCTTGGCGGCATGAGCTGAGCAGAGTCCCCCTGCCAGGCCATGGGGGTCATCTCAGATAGCCTCATGGTTTCAGATGATCTCAGAGCAGCTTGTGAACTTGTCTGGCTCCCCAGGGGTTCATGAATTCCCAGAGAATGGGGGCCACTCACTCACCCTCCGTCCCCACATCCCTGTACCTCTGTCCCCACATCCCTGTACTCAGCACAACACTGCTGTACTCAGAAGAGTTTCAGTGCACACTGGATGGGTGGATGGATGGAAGGATGAGTGGACAGAGGGGTGGATGGGTGGATGGATGGATGGATAAAAAGATGGATGGAAAGATGGATGGAGAGTGAATGGATAAAAGGTGAATGGATGAGTCGATGGACAGACGGGTTAAAGCTTAAAGACTGTGGTCGGGTCACGTATCCGCACTCCCTCTGCAAATCTGTTCCTCTCTCCTGTCACCACGTTGGCCTGGCAAACCAGTAAGATCACCTCTGCCCACTCCACTCCGTGGCCCACAACTGGAGAAAAGCACCAAATCACCCTGATTTCCTTAGATCACTTCCCTCTGCCGGGCACTGCCCCTCACTCTCAATGACCATTTCACTCTCCCTCCTCAACCCTCCAACGATGCTCCACTAGCCTCACTCTCAGTGATGATGGTGCTTCTTATTTCCTGGGGCAAATGGAAGGCAACGTCCATGCTCACCTGCTCACCTCCCTGCCTGTGGTCCTACCCTCGGCCTTCCCTCCGTCCCCACTCCTGTCTGTGACCAATCACTTCAGTGCACACTGGTATTCAGTCCTTGTCACCAGCATGTGCTCACAGCTCTGGCAATTCGTTGACTCTCTGCCATGATAGGAAAAGAAAACCCTCCTTGACCACGCGGCTCTGTCAGCTGCAAAGCCCGTGCACTGCCTCCCTACAGAGCAAAGTCTCTTGAATGAGTTGCCTAGACCTGCAGCTGCAACTCCTTTATTCCCGTTCCCTCGTAATCCCACCCCAAGCCGGTTCTCCCTGGCGCCATCCCCCGAAACTACCTTGGGCAAGGTTCCCACCTCTGCCATCTGACAACCTGATGGTCAGCTCACGGTACTTATCCCACCTGACCCCTCGGCTACGCTGAATGTGCCGACTCCTAGTCTCTCTCCAGACGCGCTCTCTTTTCTTGGTCCTTACTCACCACTCTCTTTATTGCCCTGGAGGAGTTTCTGGCCCAGCGGGAACTGACCACTCTAAGCTGACAGTGATGGTGGTTGGAAGGCAGTAAGTTCTAGAGAGATCAAAGTTTTTTCATCTGGCATAAGGGGAACTGAGGGCAACGGACACAGAG